ATTGGATAAATTCTGTATTAGTTTTGCGACGGGATTTGTTTTTTATTTTATTTTATTTATTTTTTTAGTTTTATTTATGTATTTATAATTATTTTATAATTTTGACAGATAAATTTCTAATTCCGACACAAACTATACGGGAGTTGGATAAGACTAAAGAATTTTATTTTTCGTCATGGATTTTATTGTGTATATATATATATATATATATATATATATATATATATATATATATATATATAGACGTTTTTTTATGTTTATACATTCTTTTTATAGATACAAATATTTAAGTAAAGGCTCTGTTTATAATAAACTGTATTAACGAGATTTACCGGCCTGAATGTCCGAGAAATTTTCATAGAAAATATGCGTCCTCCGACAGGAATCGAAACTGTATCCTATACGGAATCGTCATATAGACAGGCGTGTTTTTACCGATTTCGCCACAGACGAGCGTTTCGGTTAGCACAGTCGATTTTAGAATTGTACTTTTAAAAACAGTAAAATCGAGTGTAGTACCTGTTCTCCGCACATCTAATGGTGGTAGCACCTGTTAGGGTCCCAGCCATGGGCAAATAGTCAATCCCAAATTGGGGTCAAAACACTATGAAAATGTAAAAATAGGTTTTAATACCAGATATAATTAATTTTTTAAAAACAAATTATTACCAGCGATACATATTTGAAGGAAAAACGTTACCAGATATAGATTTTTGAAAAATAATATTACCAACAATAAAAATTTTGTCGCCATTAAATAACCCATTGAGGTGTTGATATGCCGTAAACCAAAACAAACCAAACTAAACAAACAGCTATACATTTTTTAAAAAGAATATTACCAGCAAATATATTTTTGGAGAAAAAAAATTATTACCAGCAATAAAAATCTTGTCAGCATTAAATAACCCATTGAGGTGTTGATATGCCGTAAAACAAAACAAATCAACCAACCTTTCAAAGAAAAAAAACTTTATAAGGAAACATTAGGCATTCATAGACTGAACCACCTGTGTTACTCGCGTTACACTTTTCTTAACTGCCTGGCCATCCCGGAGTGGGAGCAAAGTGTAGTAACTGTTCTCTTCATCTCTAATGGTGATGTTAATATTAGCCGTTTCCTCGTGATGAAAACTTGGTATTCATTAAAATAACTCCCAGTGCTACTCACATTAATCTTTTTTATTCACTCACTGGCCATCGGGTTGTTAGTCAGGTGTAGTACCTGTTTTCCTCATCTCTAATGGCAATGGGACTATTAGCCCTTTTTTTATAAGGAAATATTTAGCATTCATAGACTGAAAAGCCAGTGCTTCTCGCGATACACTTTTCTTATCTCCCTGTCCATCACGTTGGGAGCAAAGTGTAGTTCCTGTTCTCCTCAACACTAATGGTAATATTAGCTGTTTCCTTATAAGGAAACATTTGTCATCATTGACAGAATGACTAATTCTACTTCCGTTAAACCTTTCTTCACTCGCTGTCCATCTGGTTGGGAGCAAAGTGTAGTAAATGTTCTACTCATCTCTAATGGTAATGTTAATATTAGCCCTTTCCTTGTAAGGAAATATTTGGCATCATTGGCAGAATGACCAATTCTACTCCCGTTACAATTTTCTTCACTCGCTGTCCGTGTGGTTGGGAGCAAAGTTTAGTAAATGTTCTCCTCATTTCTAATGCTAATGGTAATATTGGCCGTTTTCTTACAATGGCGTCATGTCGCATTCCAACGAAATGTTTCTCTTAAAAAAAATTTCAGGAAAATACATTTTCAAGTCCAGTAACTGTTATCGCTCTTTCAAGTATTTATCGGGGTTTCCTTCTTAATCTTTAGTTTGAAGTTGTGTGGAAAGTCAACATCTTGACTGTGTCATTAGTGTCTCTTCGATTTACATATGCAATGTTCTTAAGTGATGTTGTTCCTGCTGTTTCCAAGAGTGCATTTATTTTTGATCCTGTAGCAGTAGTTCACTAGATTTGAAGAATCGACGTCTTCGCCAAGACCTACATCAAAAAAAAAAATTCCGAAACTGCCGAGACAAAAATAAAATTTTTATTTGACTCATTAATTATTCAAGGTTTAATTTTTCTTATTTTCAGTCGACACTAGCAATAAAGTAACAAGTCCAGGCTTCCTATATTCTTCACACGAATAAAATTAAAGTCGATAAAAAATTTTCAATAAAATAAATTAAGTCTGCAATTTCTGAAAGAACAATTCTTCATAAATCAAATATTTTAATTAAAATGCGAAACGATTCACTTGGATTCTTGCGTTCGTATCAAAGATTAAATCTCACTGCCTTATGTACAGTAACCTCTTTTCTTTCTTTAGTCCATTATAAATCCATGTTATGACCTGATGTCTACGGTACAAGTTATGGCTTAATATCTACAGAGGGCAGACATTTCTCTTTATTTCTAAAGGTCTTGCAAGCGTAGTATAGAAATATATTATTCTCTTTCATCCGAACCAACCTTTTTATATATCTGTCTATACTTCTGAGATGAGGTATTATGTACATTATTTACATTATTCGGACTATTGTCCTCATCTTCGTCGCCATATTTATCACAACATTTCGCCCCTTCAGTATCTGACTATATTTCTGAGATGAGGTGGTTGGAAGGTCGAACTGAACCCTTTATTTCGCTTACTGAGGTAGACTGTTCTAGTTCCACGTGCCATGTTTAATGGATGTCAGTTATCTCCTGTTAATTCCCCTCTCCAAGTACTCCACTCCCTTAACCGGGTATTGAACTCACACTCGTTGGGTCCTCGAGGACACATGACACAGTGGATAAAGGCGTTGGTTAGATCCAGTGACAAGACCCAAAGAGAGTGAGTTCAATATCTGGTTAAGACGGTGGAGAAACCGGAGAGGGGAATTAACAGGAGATAACTAATAACTGACGAATATTTTCTGTGAAAATTTATCGGACATTCAGGCCGGTAAATGTTGTTAAATACTGTTTATTATAAACAGAGCATTTACTTAAATATTTGTATCTATAAAAAGAACGTATAAAAATAAAAATGTCTTTATATATATATAAGTAATGGATTTTTAATGTTACATTTTAGTATACATTTGTATTTGAGTAGACGCTCTGTTTATTAATTAAACAGTACAACCAAAACTCCCATCAATGGACTAATAGTGGGAATAGGTGGCCCGTTAAATAGACAGAAAGGGATTATTCTTGAGTTATAAAACCACTATAGTAACTACCAGTAGTTATGATCATAATTTAAATACTATGAACGGGTATATATGGCATAAATAAATATATACTTAATATAGATATATTAATCAAAACAACAAAAATAATCAATTTCTTACAGCTACTTTCTCCCTCATGCACTAGTATATCGTACTTTATGTACTATACACCCGTCTATGTTTACAATTGAAAAGCCAGTCACCGCCGCCAAGCGATCACTTTGAGAACTAATACGACTAAGCCCACAAATTTTGAAATATATCACTCACGATTTAGAAGTTTGTTTTTTTGGGGGGTTCTGCATAATTTTTAAAAATTTTTCCTGCAGATTTTTTCCGTGGCATCTGAAACCGTTGATGGCGGGGGGGGGGAATACATGAGATGTTTCTCTGTAGAATTAAAATGATCAAGGGAAGTAATCATTGATAAATTTACTGCCTAAATGGATTTACTTCCGTAGTCACATGTATCGTACTTTATATACTGTACACTCGTTGTTGTTTACAATTGAAAGGCCCTCCACCACCGCCGCCACCAAGCGGTCACTTTGAGAACTAATACGACTCGTTCCGCTAAACCCGCAAATTTTGAAATACCTCGTTGACGATTTGGAAGATTTTTTTTCTTTTCCTGCAGATGTTTTTGTTTTATTTTGCCTGCAGTTTTGTAGGTTGCATCCGAAGTCCGTTGATGGCTCCGTAGACGAGAGACATGGCTATTCGAGATATATTATTAGAGAAAATCCATTAGAGTAAAATAAATAGATAGTTTAATAAATAAACAGAGCGTCTACTCAAATATGAGTATCCACTAAAATTATCTGGAAATAAGAGCGATTACTATAGGAACTAGAAAGCAGATTACCTAAAATTCAACAAAACGTTAAATTTATCGAGAATTTTTCTTAAATTTTTAATATTACTGGGTAGGTAAAAAATATATAAAAAAGGTGCTTCCGTTATATTCCCCAAGTAATTTTTACAAATATTTCCAGTGTAGAAAAAAATATGAAAACTTCCGTCTGTCAATCAAGCTGTCAACATATCAACACCTTAAATAAAAACTTACCTCCGTGTTAAAAAAAAAGCATTTTTATTTTAAAACTTAGGTATCACGTTTCTGTAGAGGTACACACACACACACACACACACACGTGTGTGTGTGTGTGTGTGTGTATATAAGAGAGAAAAAAGTGTACATTTTAAAGAGAAGGAGAAGTTGGAAACATTTTTGACTATAATGTGGATTTTATATATATATATATATATATATATATATATATATATATATATATATATATATATATATATATTATTTTTCCATATGGAAAATAAAGTATTATATATATATATATATATATATATATATATATATATATATATAAGGGAGAAAAAGTGTACATTTTGTAAAGAAGAGAGAAAAGTGTACATTTTAAAGAGAAGAAAGAAGCCGCAAACATTTTTTACTCTAATGTGGATTTTTTATATGTATATACATATTATACCTTATTTTCCATATGGAAAATAAAGTATTATATATATATATATATATATATATATATATATATATATATATACCTGTTGAGTCAAAGTTAGTTTTGACAGAAATAGTGAATTGGTGGGAATTGTTTGAAATAATATCAGTTCTGTTTTTATAATAAAAGCCCTCTCATAGAAGTGTTATCATATGTATGTATATATCATATTTAAGTGTGAGTCTGTTTCCGTGTTGATAACGAAAGATACATAAAAGCATTTGAGAGTCTATATGATAACAATATGGCGCATAGAAAGATCGATAGAGAAAGAAGAAAAGAAAGAAAAACCATAATGAAAAGAAGAGGGTATAAATGGATATAATAAATATACGAGAAAGAAAGGCTAAAGAAAATATAAAGAAAGGTAAAAGGTAGGAAGGAAGGAAGAAAGGAAGAGGGTATATATAAATATAGAGAGAAGAAAAGAAAAAACAGATTCAAAGATATTTAAAAGTAGAAAGAAAGAAAAACAGAATTGTAATAAAGTAATGGAAAGAAAGAAAGAAAGAAAGAAAGAAAGAAAGAATGAGCGGGCATACAGACATAAACCGAAAATGAAGAAAGGAAAAAAGAAAGTAAAACCGTAATAAAGAAAAAAGAATAACAAATGAAAGAAGGAAGGAAGCTAAATATAAAGAAATAGATAAAAAAAGAAATAGCAAAGAAAAATAAAAGAAAGAAAAATGAAAGAATGAAACCCAAAATAAAGAAAGAATAATGAAATAAATAAAGAAATAACGAAAGAAGAGAAGAAAGAAAGAAAGAATGAATGAAACCCAAGATAAAGAAAGAAAAATAATAAAATAAAGAGAGAAAGAAAGAAGGAAACCAAAGATGAATAAATAAATAAATAAATAAAGAAATAAAGAAAGAAAGAAGGAAACCAAAGACAAAGAAAGAAAAAGAAAAAAGAAAGAAAAATGAAAGAACGAAACCAAAGAGAAAGAAAGAAAGAAAGAAAGGAAAAAGAAAGAAAAATGAAAGAAGGAAACCAAAGATAAAGAAAGAATGATGAAAGAAAGAAAGAAACCAAAAATAAAGAAAGAAAGAAAAAGAAAGAAAGAAACCAAAAATAAAGAAAGAAAGAAAGAAAAAGAAAGAAACCAAAAATAAATAAAGAAAGAAAGCAAAACAGAAAGCAAGCAAGCAAGCAAGAAAGAAAGAAAGTAAAATGAAAGTACAAAACCAAAGATAAAGAAAGAATAATGAAAGAAAGAAATAAAGAAAGAAAGAAAGAAACCAAAAAGAAAGAAAGAAAGAAACCAAAAAGAAAGAAAGAAAGAAAGAAAGAAAGAGTAGGAAAGATATAATAAGAAAGTGAGATGAAAATAAAGAAATTGGAGACAGCTGGTAAAACGAGACATAAAGAAAGACAGCTAAGTGAGAAGAAAAAAAAAAGGAAAAATAAAGTCAGGCGTTGAAATAATAATCCGTAATGAGAACGACACTAAAGAAAAGAAGGAGAAACAGAAGAAATTCGAATGAACGAATGAGCGAAAAAGGGTGAATAAAAGATTGAAAAAAAGAATAGAAAGACGGAATTAAAAGATGAAAACTCCAAACTGTGAAGAGGAACTAAATATTTGACCTCTCTCCAAGGACTGAAATATTCTTTTTATTGTCAAAAGCTTTTACATCTCGCGTCCTGAAATCTCGTCCGGCCGAGAACAAATGCATGAAAGAAGAGACCTGGAAATTTCGAAGTGAATATCTCGTGGAAGTGACAATAACATAGGAGGCTAAATTCACTTTGATAGCATTCAGATTGTTTATTTCCTCTTCGTGTCGATTGTGATGGGATGCCATAACCACAAATTCGCATCTACATCAACTTCGTCTCGGAGAAACTCTAAGGATAGATTTTAGTGCATTTCACAAAGAAGAGTGACACAATCAAGACGGGAAAAGAGTTTTCTCCCTTTGCAAGTTTTTTTTTTTTATTTTTTATTTTTTTTTTACGTTGTAAAACAGTAGAGAGAAACAACGAAAAAGATGAGTTGAGATTAATGATAGTAGAAAGAGTATAAGATTAAAGAGTACGGTGGCGGTGGTGGGGGAGGAGGAAGAGGAGAAGAAAAAGAAATATGTGAGAAGAAGAAAATGTATGTGAAAGAAAAAGAAAATAAGGAGGAGAAGAAGAAAAAAAAGAAGAAGAAATATGTGAAAGAAAAAGAAAATAAGAAGAAGAAGAAGAAGAAGAAATATGTGAAAGAAATAGAAAATAAGGAGGAGGAGGATAAGAAGAAGAAGGAGAAGGAGGAGGAGAACAAGAAGGAGAAGGAGGAGGAGAACAAGAAGGAGAAGGTGGAGGAGGAGGAGAAGAAGAAGAAGAAATATGCGAAAGGAAAAGAAAATAAGGAGGACAAGAAGGAGGAGAAGAAATATGAGAAAGGGAAAAAAAGAAGGAGAAGAAATATGTGAAAGAAAAAGAAAAGAAGAGAAAGAAATATGCGAAAGAAAAAGAAAAGAAGAGAAAGAAATATGCGAAAGAAAAAGAAAAGAAGAGAAAGAAATATGCGAAAGAAAAAGAAAAGAAGAGAAAGAAATATGTGAAAGAAAAAGAAAAGAAGAGAAAGAAATATGTGAAAGAAAAAGAAAAGAAGAAATATGTGAAAGAAAAAGAAAAGAAGAGAAAGAAATATGCGAAAGAAAAAGAAAAGAAGAGAAAGAAATATGTGAAAGAAAAAGAAAAGAAGAGAAAGAAATATGCGAAAGAAAAAGAAAAGAAGAGAAAGAAATATGCGAATGAAAAAGAAAAGAAGAGAAAGAAATATGAAAAAGAAAAGAAAAGAAGAGAAAGAAATATGTGAAAAAAAAGAAAAGAAGAAATATGTGAAAGAAAAGAAAAGAAGAGAAACAAATATGCGAAAGAAAAAGAAAAGAAGAGAAAGAAATATGAAAGAAAAAAAAGAAAAGAAGAGAAAGAAATATGCGAAAGAAAAAGAAAAGAAGAGAAAGAAATATGCGAATGAAAAAGAAAAGAAGAGAAAGAAATATGCGAAAGAAAAAGAAAAGAAGAGAAAGAAATATGCGAATGAAAAAGAAAAGAAGAGAAAGAAATATGCGAAAGAAAAAGAAAAGAAGAAATATGTGAAGGAAAAAGAAAATAAAAAGACGAAGAAGAAGAAGAAGAAATATGTAAAAGAAAACGAAAATAAGAAACTAAGTAAAAGAATGCAAAGGAAAATAAAAAAAGAAAGAAAGAATGAAAGAATGAATTAGTAAAGAAATAAGACTAATGAGAAATAAGAGGAAGGAAAAAAGGAAGAGTAAAAAAGAAAAAAAAACTATTTACGTAAAGAAAAAAAGAAAGAAAAACGGGAAATAAAAAAGAAAAAACTACGTAAAAGACAAAAAAGTGGAAGAAAAAAATGTGAAAATAAAAATGAAAAAAGAGAAAAAAATCAGAAAACTGTTTACGTAAAGCCGAAAAAAATAGGTTAAGTATAAGAATTATCACTATTTTCATTATTTATTATTGTCCGTATTATTGTTCTCATCTTTATTGCCATATTCACGTGTCAGCCGTTGTAAGCTCCGGACTTCTTCAGGTGATAGGAATTTCGAACTGAACCCTTTATTTCGCCAACTGGGGGTAGACTGTTCTAGTTCCACGTGCCATGCCTCTTCCGGATGTCTCAGTTATCTCTCTTTCACTCAACTCCCCAAGTTTTTGTTCACCACTGCAGTAGCCAGGTATTGAACTCGCAACTCTTCTCGGTCAAGTCAATGGATCCAACCAACGGTTTTATTCGCTGTGCTATGTGCCCTTGATAAAGTGTTCAGTTCGAAATTCCAATCACCTGAAGAAGGCCGGAGGGTACAACGGCCGAAACGTCATGAATATGATCAATGGACACTACGCTTGATTTGTAAGCCACGATTGGAAGATAGAGTGAACAGCTCCTCTTCTCGTGCTATATTGGAATATTTTCCGTATACACCAATCCTATACTAGGTATATATATATATATATATATATATATATATATATATATATATGTGTGTGTGTGTGTGTGTGTGTGTGTGTGTGTGTGTGTGTGTGTGTGTGTGTGTGTGATGCAAAAGGTAAATTGTCGACAGAATGAGATATGGAGAAAAAGAAGAAAAATTCTAGTATTTTTATTTTTGTTTGATTTTCATTAGTTAATCAGGTTTCACGTGCATTTGACTTGTTAAACAACGTTAGTATAATTTATGACGTTCCGATGTCAAGGTGAGACGACGCACCATTTCGAAGCTTCGAGAAATTAATGGATTACAAGCTTAATTATCAAACGTAAATATTGTTTTTATCTATGTATATGCTTAAACGATTTCTTTTAATCATTTTACTCCAATTAAGGTGGGAATGCCACTAGTACGCAGGAGGTTACAGAGAGTGAATGCGAGAGAAAAGATTGGGTTTAGTGGGGAACCGAGGAAACGACAAGATGAACAGAGTTCAAGAAGACAGAAGATGGCAGTTGACGTTGCATTTAAAGTTTTGAAGATTGTAGTTTTCAAGGAAGCAAATAAACGGAAGGGAATTCCACAGGCGGGATTTTTCGAGAAAATAAATTGTTGAAGTAGAAGTGGTGGTTACATTAAACTATTTCAACGGTAAAATGATGCCAAACTAGTACCACGCTTAAACTCGTCAGAGCAGTTGCTATGAAAATATATTTAGAAAAGACAGAGGGAAGCCACATCACGTCTGTGGGAATAAGACTGAAGTCCAGATGCCACGTCTGGATCGATTACATTGCAGATCTTTCTCTGGATTTTGTCAAGAAACTCGAAATGAATAGCAGGAGCATGACACCAGATATGAGAACAGGATTTAATGCATGGACGAATGGTAGATTTAGAGGTGGATTGTATATATGTGTTTAACATCTGAATGGTAGATATGTAAATATGCAAGATGAATTCTGACGAGAAAAACGTTCCGGCACAACACAATAAGCCAAATTTCCTTGCAGTAGATGCAACTATTATGTTCTTTTTTTTTTTTTAAATTAGAGTGGCATTTGTAAAATAAAAATTATTGTCAGTTTTGTTCGCGCGTATTACAAGAGAGTTTAATGTGTTGTCCATGTGTAATACACAGTTCGTAATAATATCTACGAGACATACAAACAGACACATTTATTTCTTATTTTATTTAAGCAATTTGCCCCAAGCAAGGCAGGAGTGCTATAAGTACGCAATTGGCTACAGAGAATTAAAGTAAGGGAAAAGACTGTGGAAAGATAGGATTGAAGAAAAGATAAAAAGAAGAACGGGTATCAAGGCATCAGAAGATGTCAATTGTTTGAAGATTATAGTTATCAGGGAAGCAAGTAAGAGGAAGGTAGTTCCTCTGTCGGGAAGTGCGAGAGAAGAAACTGTTAGATTAGAAGAGATGGTTATATTTAACTCTTCCGACAGTAAAAGGGTGGAACAGAGATGCCAACCTACTAGCAAACTTTATGCAGTCGGGGCACCAATGAAAATAGCGCGTCAGTGCAGATGCCATGGAAATATTTGTAGAAAAGACAGAAGGAAGCTACATTACGACGGTGGCAGGGTTTTACTCATATACAATATTCTCCGCATCTTCACATACACGAACTTGAATTATGACGCACTTAGATACATAAAACGAATAAACGTCCTTCAGGACTTAGGCGATCACGGCCCTCCACAATTTCCTGTCCTTTGTGGCTCTTAATAATTTTTTTTGCCATCTCTCCTAATCCCTGTCCTGCCATCCATTTACACAAGCTTGTTAGATAGCCGTCTATATCTCTGACATGAAGTATTATGATTACTTGCATTATTTACATTATTCGGACTGTTATCCTCATCTTCATTGCCATATTCACAACGTTTCGGCCGTTGTACGCTCCGGCCTTTATGTCTATGTCTCTCTATATATCTGTTTATATCTTTGACATGAGGTATTATGATTACTTGCATTATTTACATTATTCGGGCTGTTATCCTCATCTTCATTGCCATATTCACAACATTTCGGGCGTTGTACGCTCCGGCCTTCTTCACGTGACTGGATCTCTGAGATGAGGTATTATGATTACTTGCATTATTTACATTATTCGGACTATCATCCTCATCTTCATTGCCATATTCACAACGTTTCGGCCGTTATACGTTTCGGCCGTTATACGTTTCGGCCTACTTCATATGATTAGAATTTCGAACCGAACCCTTTATATCGTCCACCGGAGCACATCGATCTAGTTCCACGTGTGATGCCTCTTGCAGGTGTTTCAGTTATTTTCAACACTCTTCTGTAGCCAGGTATTGAACTCACAACTCTTTGGGTCTAGTTAACGAACGCCTTTATCCACCTGGCCATGTGTATGAATTTCTCGGACTTTAATACCTCATGTCATAGCAACGGTTTTTTACCAGTGCCCATATTGAAATTACGTCATTACTATTGCTTTTTTTTAAACAGAGCTTATATTGCAATATTTGTGTTGTTATTCATTGCTTTTCTCTAGCACTCCTTAGTTCTCATATTATATTCATTTCTATGCTTGGTCGGCTCATGAGATTTTTTGCGGCCTAGCATGTGCGCTGATTCCTTAAATTTTCGTATTTTCCAGTGTTGTTTTCTATTATTCCAACCTCATTCTACAGGGAGCGGTGATCTCCCTTTTCCCTCCATATGTGGTCAGCTACGCCTGATTTTTCTATTTCCCCTTGTGTTACCGCTTTATGATATTCTTGCAGTCTTACCTTAAGAAGGCGGCCTGTTTCTTCTTTATATTTCTTACCACAGCTGCACGAAATTGCGTACACACAGCCATGTTTAACTTGGGGAGGTCTTACTCGAAAGATAGGTTATCTGTTGTTTTCCTCTGTCTCTCTTGCCTTCAATCTCTCCTGTGAGTATCAAAATTTCCAAACCCTCTTTCCTTCTTATATACCCTAGCATTTTCAACTGTCTTTTTCTGATGTTAAGTATGGGTCTCCTTGTTGTTACCATTTTCTCTAGAACTTCGACGTTGCTTACATGTTCAGTCCATGGCATTCTTAGCACGCTTCTGTAGAACAGCATTTTTGTTGGTTCATGGTCTCTTCTTCCTCTGTGAGGAGGACTGATGCTATGTAACAGTTTAGTCCTCTTTTCTATGTTTCTAGCGAAATCATTCTGTTTCTTAATACGTTGCTTCGCTTTTGGAAGGCATCTTTCGCTATCCCAGTGGGCTTTCGGATTTCCGTGTCGCACACTGTGTGCCTTGGAATATTTCAACTGCTTTTTCCTGTTGTTAAGTGTAAGTGTCCTTTTTGTTTCAGTTTTCTCTAAAACTTTGTCGTTGCACGTACGGTCCATACTATTCTCACCATCCTTCTGTACAATCAGATTTTTGTTACTACAAGTCTCTTCTTCATTTTGAGAAAATTGTCTAGCATTCACTGCCATATAGGAGGACTGATATTACGTAACAGTTCAGTATTCTTTTCTTTGTTTCTGTTGCTTCAAGTCTCTTCTTCATCTTTGGGGAGATTGTCCAACATTCATTGCTATATAGGAGGACTGATATTACGTAACAGTTCAGTACTCTTTTTCTTTTGTTCCTGTTTCTTCAAGTCTCTTCTTCATCTTTGGGGAGATTGTCCAACATTCATTGCTATATAGGAGGACTGATATTACGTAACAGTTCAGTACTCTTTTCTTTGTTCCTGTTGCTTCAAGTCTCTTCTTCATCTTTGGGGAGATTGTCCAACATTCATTGCTATATAGGAGGACTGATATTACGTAACAGTTCAGCATTCTTTTCTTTGTTTCTGTTGCTTCAAGTCTCTTCTTCATCTTTGGGAGATTGTCCAACATTCATTGCTATATAGGAGGACTGATATTACGTAACAGGCAATCTTTTCTTTGTTTCTGTTGCTTCAAGTCTCTTCTTCATCTTTGGGGAGATTGTCCAACATTCATTGCTATATAGGAGGACTGATATTACGTAACAGTTCAGCAATCTTTTCTTTGTTTCTGTTGCTTCAAGTCTCTTCTTCATCTTTGGGGAGATTGTCCAACATTCACTGCTATATAGGAGGACTGATATTACGTAACAGTTCAGTACTCTTTTCTTTGTTCCTGTTGCTTCAAGTCTCTTCTTCATATGTGAGAATATTGTCCAGTATTCACTGCCATAGACGTGGACAGATATTACATAACAATTCGGTAATCTTTTCTTTGTTTCTGTTGCTTCAAGTCTTTTCTTCATCTTTGAGGAGATTGTCCAGCATTCACTGCCATATAGGAGCATAGATATTATATAACAGTTCAGTACTACTTTCTTTGTTTCTAACGAAATCTTTGTGTTTTTTTATACTTTGCTCAG